ACACAAAAAAACTCGTTGGCTTCAACACATTTTCACCCATTTTTTTACATTACCAACATTACAGCTTCCACGCAACTTATTATTTATTACCAATATTTTAAGATTTTGACAAGAACACTTCATTTTATAGAAAGGAATTTACATTTTATGCAATATGTTCATATTTCCCGAGTTATAACCTTGCAAACCTCAGTTTCAAGGAATTTAAAAGATTTTTGTAATTTCCCATATATTTCTTTGGAATAAACTCCGCTTAATTTACAAATTTGCATTGTCTCAACGCTAGTTTTACACTTGCCTTACTTTTTTAAAAATATAAATCTCAGAGAAATTTAAAAATCTAAAAGCCAATATCCAATAAAAAATTTCAATGGTGAAAAAGTCTACTTTGAAGGATACCCAGGAGAAGCAACATACGACGCAGGGTTTATTTTGTAAAACATTGCCGTCCAACACATTGGCTGATAAATCATAAAAAAGTTACGTAAACTACATCATTGTAGTGAAAACCATTAGTGAAAACCATTCAAATACAAAAATTCGAATATCTGTCTGTAAAATTTCAAAACAAAAAATTACCTTTTTTAATTTGTTATAATCAATACATACAAAAAAAAAAATGCGAAAGGCATTGTTTTTTATAGAAAAAAACTTGTAACCAAATTCTGTATCCATCCGTACCGCTGTATACAATGTGTTGTACTTTTTAGTCCATTTTAGAACTTATTTCTGCAAAATATTTATGTATAAATTTTTATTGTCATAGTTCCAGGGAAGAATAAACCAAGCTTCTTTTTGTACTAAGATACTGAATACTGAATATTGTACCACAGTGAAAGGTAAAAAATACCATATATTCAGTACAATTTTCCTAAAATATTTATGCATATCGCTCTATTTGTAATAGTTAAGCTACATACTAAATTTCAGATTTCAATCTGAAACTTTTCCATTATAAGTTAATATTTTGTAGCATAGCATAGTATTTGTAGTATTTAAATCTATGTACCGAGTTCCAGATTTCTATTTCTTCCGGTTCCATTATACTACAGTATTTTGAACTAATTTCAAAAGAATTATGGATATCATTCTATTTGCAGTAGAGTAAGCTATATACTAAATTTCAAATTCTATTTCTAAAAGTTCTATTATATTTTATTAATTAGTACTTTTTATCAAAACTTTAGTACTAAATTCCAAAAAAATGTTATGCATAGTATGCTTTTTGTAATAGATAAAGCTATATGCGAAGTTTCACATTTAGACAATTTATAACTTTTTAATACATTTTACAACTTTTTAAATTTAATATATATACTACTATCTCATTTAGTACTTTTTAGTACCTTCAGTACTAATTTCCAAAATTTGTTCGTACATTCTGATTTGTTTATCATTGACAAAGCTGCATACCAAATTTCAGATTTGAAGTTCCAACTGTTCCGGCGTAATACAGTTTTTAGTACTATTTTGTACCATTTTAGTACTAATTTCAAAAAAAAAAAAAAAAATATTTTTGCACCTCATTCTAATTGTAATAACTTAAGATCCATACAAAATTTCAGATATCTATCCCTACATATTTATCGTAGTACAACATTTAGTAGGGGAGAGGGGGCACCTTTGAACAGCGCTCATAAAATCTCGGTTTAAAATTTTTCCGACCGCAACAAAATTTTTTTATATGCCAATTTTGTTCTTTATCTGCGTATACCATTTTGGTTAGCTTTTTCAGTTGTCGACAAAATTTACATGAGTGACTATGTTTTCGCACTGTAATTGTAAACTTTTAATTTTTTGGTTGTAAGGGCGCAAGAAGAATTCAGTGATAGTTTTCTTTCGATAAAAAATTTTTTGCATTCCAACAATCATTTCAAATATATCTAATGTATTTTTTGTTCATATATATTTACTACAAAAAAAGTTATTATAAATTTCCGTATTTCCCCACAGGTGGGGCACCTTTGAACATACCCAGTAAACTTTAGTAAAAAACGGAGTTTTCAACTTTTGGCTTCGATTTCTCGAAAATTTCAAGTGGGCTAATAAGATTACGAAATTAGCTGTATTTTTCACCATATAAATTTTTGTTTGTATGTCATTTTATGTTTTTATAAATTTTGATTAGAATTTTTTTAATTTTCGAATATTTTTGTATATATTTTTTAATAAAAAATGCATTTCTGATATATATGAATACAATACATATATATTTGAACATAAACACTGTAAAAAAACATGCCTTTCAAAAATACCAAGCTTTGTTCGAAGGTGCACCCCTGGGGGGCAGTTTTGAACACTTTGACTTCGTCCATTAAAACAGTAATAAAATATGTATATCAAGCTTAAAGTATGTCATATGTATATTCTTTTTAAATGTTACTTATGTACCTATTAGTTACAATTTATAAGAAACCATAAATTATAACCTAACAAATTTTATGACCCATTTAAGACCCTTTATTACTAATTTCCATTTTTTTAACACATTCTGATTTGCTTACCATGGACAAAGCTGTATACCAAACCATTCTGGTGTAATATAGTTTTAGTAATATTTAGGACCATTTTAGTACTTTTTAGGGTCTTTTAGTACTAAAATCCAAAACTTTTTACACATTCAACTTTGGTGGTCATAGACAAAGGCTACATACCAAATTTCAAAGTTCAACTTCTAACCATTCCCTCGTAATACAGTTTTTAGTATTTTTTAGTACGAATTTCCAAAAAGTCCGCCTTATCACACGCCTACACACCAAACCCGATCTACAGGCCGAATTTCAAGTTTCTAGCTTTAGCTAGATGATCAGTCAGTCACTTATAACGCAATTCTTATATATATATATATATATATGTTCATCACGTCATTACTCAACACTTAAACATGTGACGAATGTGTCCTTCAGCTTTTATCCCTTCGGTGCATAGTGTGATTATTTCAATTTTGTTGCACTGTGTGAATACTCACCTATCACTCGCGCTATGATATCCCTTTATTGTTATTGTTTGATAATAAACGATACATTATTAAGATGATTTATCTTAAACGAAATCATCTCTATAAATTTGATATCAAAAACAACAATCCATTTAAAAGATAAAGAGAGAGGATGGACATGCGCCCTGCAAATGGATCCAATCAAAGATTATCGGTTTGTTTGTTAAACACAATGAAGCAACTTGTTGACATTGTTTCGTAGCGGCAGACTGAAAGGATTCGAAAGCGGCAAATGGTGAAGGACATGCGCCATCTCGCTCAATGTGGAATTTGTTTTACTTTTCACGTTGATTATCTTGCGAAAGATGCGAAAAGCTAAACTCACGTTCAGTAAGCGGGTGTCACTAGTGGAGTTCATATCGTTCGTTCGGATTGAAATTTGGAAATTTGAAAATAACGCTGTTTATAATTTCATTACCTTACAAAGCAACTTTGTGAGAGTGCTTCAGTGTGTGTGTTTACCTTCTACGTGTATTAAATACATCCAAATTCAGTTGTCTGGGCAATGAAAATTTAAGAAAATTGATTTGTAACATCGTAAGAAAGCATGATTTAATTTGAGTTTTTCCTTGTCAGTGGTTGCCATAATTTAATAGATAACAAATAAATATAACAATCATACGTCGTATTCTAGGTGTGTGTCTGTGTGTATGTATTAGAGAGACTCATTTTAGCCACACTGTGTAAACACAGACATCCTCATCAAAGCAGGCGCATATTTGAGTGTATTGCCTGACGCCGGTTAATAATGTTGCCAGCTATCAAATATTCCGGCCAGTCGTAAGAAATATGACGCCAAATGTGTGATGTGTCGGTTGTTCGTTCGTCTGTGTGTCTGTCAGTCAGTATGACGCGGCGTGCATGTCCTCGTTACTAGTATTACTGTTATTATTATTCTGTGTTATGAACGTTAAGGCAATGAAAACACAACAAACCACAAGAAAAATACTTCACTTCCTGTCCTAGTCAAGCAACCAGTCATCCAGTCGGATACGTTCTGGCAAGTTGAGAGCGAGTGTGTGTGCTACGTGTGTGTATGGGTTTGTTCGTTCTATACAAGTGGCTTTGAACATAGAAGCACTTCAACGATTTTTTTCTGATTCAAAGTGCAAATAAAACAAGTGTTGTAGAGTTCAATTAATTGTGTGTTTCTCTGTGTGTGCGTGCGTATGTGTTGATTTCCATGGTGAGATTGCTATTTGGTCTACACACGCATACTTACTTACGACGACGTGCGAGTATGTTCATGTGAATTGTGTTTTTTGCAAAATATTTGTATACATAAGCCCTTAAAATCATGCATCAATGAATACGCTGGCATGGCCCATGATGTTGTCTTTAACGAATCAATCAAAGGAATGTCAATAAAATGTCAAACAAAAATTCACTGGGAATTCTTTGAATATTAATCATAGCCCACGCCATAAATCTCAAAGGAATAATTTATTCATCGTTGGAATCTAATCCAGGTTTGTAATAAAAAAAATAAATTAACAAAAAAATATATATTGTTAACAATTAAGGAAAACATAAACACCAAATGTGGGATTTACAACACATACTTGTATTTACATCAATAAAATAAACAAATTTTGTTGATATAATTCAGTTCATATATTCACTCCCCAATATTTTATTAGTGGATACGGGGAAGACAAATTCGTTATAAGCCCAAAGTGGTTAGATGGTGCGAAATGAAAAAAAGTAAAATTTTGTCTTCCTTAAATATGAGATGTGTAGATGATTGCGACAAAAAAATATTATTTTAATATACATTGATCATATGTACGCACGTTAAATGTTTATATGTTTAATAGAAATTTAGATTCATTAGTTATGTGATCAGTATTTACTACAGATTTATTCACAGCTAGAAAATCGAGGGCTTTGTATTTGATTTTCAGTTACTTTTTTACTCGTTTTACATTTGACCTGAAACGTCTACTTCTTAGAAATAAATCCAAATTAAATCAATGGTATGAATCCCCTATTTCTTCCAAAGATTCCACTATCTCTTCGATATTTGTTTCAATCATGGTGCTCAATCTATCGTATTTCACAACATGAATGTAATTTATTGATTTATTTGCTTCTCGAAATATTCTGCATAAAGTAGCAGACCTTTTTGGATTTTCTAAAGAATGAGCTAATTTCCAAAATTGTAGAAAATATACTTCAACTGCATATAAATTTAATTTTAAAATGTGAAAAGAATAATGAAAATATGCCACAAAAATTTATTTTGATTTAATATCTATCTGACTCAATTATAATTGACTGACATGTTAGAATCGCTGTCATATGCTTGACATCTCAAAATGTCTCAGAAATGTTTATTCTGACGATCGTTTTGTTTGCTGTTAACCATTCTAATTCCACGTAGAAAAGGAAACAACATACCGGAGGCTTTACTTTCCCTCAATGTGATGTCTTCCCTTTCACACAATAAAATTGTCTCAATATCCACTTTAACATTATACTTGTGTTCTTTCAAAATATGTAAACTTGTTTGTCCGCAACATGATCTATACGTTTCGAAACATCTTTCATTCTCGATATAAAGTCCAGAGTCCTCATCATCACATCTTTGTGGTATTCCTTTTTTCGTGGTCGGTGTAGCATTCGAGAACATCTTTCGAATTTGTAAGAGGGTTCGACAGAGGTAATTCTGGGACTTGGTGGTTGCCTCTTCCGCACCTTTCTTTATTAAAAATAATATTACAACAATCGCCTTTTGCTAAATCTGAAAATGCGACCCTATAAATTATGCATATATATACATAAAATTCTATGACGATTTATTTTCTCAGAATTTTGGGGGCTATAATTTAGTATTTTCAGTTCTTATTGGGTAGTAAATCTCTCTACCTAAAAATTTTAAAAATAGATACCATTTTTCGGATAGCTCCCATATAAGGGGTACCAGACAATTTTTGGTAATTTGAGGTTCGCGAACGCGTTTTTCAACCTAATTTTGCTGTAATTTGGTATTTTTACCATATAACATATAACTTTTTATACCCTTCGGCACACTGTTGTACAGGGTATTATGTCTTTGTGCATATCTTTGCAACATGCAAAAGGAAACACATGGTTCTTTATTCCGTCGATTTTAGGTAATTATATTTTCGTTCGATTTTAGGTTGCCGGGTGTTGATGCTAAATCGGTGCGCCCTAAATAAGGACGTACATAATTTCATATATAAAATTGGCTGCGAAGAAGCTATGGGAAGAATTCCAGTGTCAATAAGTTAACTATTCACCCTAATATGAAATATTGCTATTGAGGCACTGACATGCTAAGTTAGCACTTGATTGCTATACTTTCTTTACATTGGTTTTCGTTAATATTATTATGCAGAATCAACGTACATATTTTGTACTAACTGTATCGTAATGAGTAATTATTATCTTTAATTGTTTTTCGATAATAATCCGCTGAACGCCATAAAATTTATTTATTATTTAACCGAAAGGCAAATATCACTGAACATATCATAACTAGGCAATAGAAGGGTGTTAACCCGCCCACATATTATATTTGCATCATTTTTATTCAAACCCTGATTGCATGTATTACTCATTTTATATGAATTTCTTCTTCCAATGAAATTATATTAAATATTTTGGAATTATGACATAGCTTCCATATTTGTTCTAAAGGTATCATGAATTCCATTCTGAAGCATAGCGTCACGTTGACATTGCTCTGGATGGTCATACCTTTTCATTGCAATTTTCAAATATTGATAATGTCTGCATCGCCTTGATAACGTCTAGACCGTTTCTAAGCTTCGATTAAGCAGATAAAATCGGTTATCAAGAGAGAGCCGAAAATGTAAAAAAATAGAGTTTTTTTTTAATTAGTTTAAGGACTGAAATAAGAAAGATGTAATATGCTAAGGCTATTAAAAATTTGGCTCTACTAAAGGATAATACCTCCGTTAGTTCTAATTTGTTTTATTTATATAAAAATATATTTGTGCCTTTTGCTAATATAATAATCTAATATTGAATAAGTGTACTCAGCATTGAAATTGTTAAATCAAAGGATAAAAATTCGATTTCAAATGTTCATCCCTACTGACCACAATGTACCCGCTCATGTAAGTTAATTACATTATTTAATTAATTTTCCAAAAAAAAACAAAAACTTGAAACTAGAAAAATAACTTTCACAAAAGGCTTTTCATATCAAAATTAGTTTGATTGAAAATTCCATTTAGAATGAAATATTTATTTAAGTGCAAATAGTTGCATTCATAGCTTAGCACATATGCATGTTTGTATGTGTGTGAATTTTTACACATGGTCTCACAAAATAAACTTGAAATAGAAATTAACGTACACCTCCCCGCAGCTTTGGCATTGCACCAAACTCTTTTTTCCTGTTATAAATTTCTGTAGATTTCGATTCACATTGTATGTGTGGGCGAGAGGGGTAACACAAACAACCACTATCAAATTTCAAGAACTAACAAAACATTTTGTAAAATTAATTGGATAAAAACTTACTTTCACATAACCACAAAATTGGATTTTAAATTTGCCAGACGTACATACATATGTACGTAGCTACGTATATTTTTCCTAGGAACAAATTTAACCCCTTTATGACAGTTGGTATTTTATAGCCCCATATTTGTTGTATATACATTTGATTAAGTTTATAACATATAGTTAGTGTTGTTATTTTGAGATCATATTTTGAAATTGAGTGAAAATAAATTCTGATATGCCATATGTGAAATAAAACCTAAAGAACAACATGAAATTAAAATTCGAAAACGAATTGGAGATTCTCCTTTTTGAAAATGCCGACAACGAGTCTTTTGAGCATATATAAAATGACTTTCTGTGTCGATTTATGCATGTCCATATTCAATTGTGAGGAATTTTGATACAATTCATTTAATTGGTCCAAGAAGGAACCTCATTGAAATTGGAGACCATCGGTTCAGATTTATATACAATTTCGTTCGATTTCGTGTAAATGACACAAAAACGACATTACTTCTGTCCATTTGGCACGATAAGTTGCGTGGGATACCGAGCGTTATGTTCAAATCTGTGCGTTACAATAAGATCAATAAGAGCACCTCTTGTAGATATTCAAAATAGCGTAGGGTATCATATAGTAGGGCCAGTTCGACTTCGTTGCCTCCTAACTGGTTTTAGATCTCGAACTCGATTGGAATTCTATTTTTACACCAAAGAGTGTCATACATGCATTGGAAGATCACTATTTAAATGTATGCAGGTATCCGGCCATCGAATTTTACTTCCGAAAACGTTATGGGATATGTTGGAAGAGATATCGACATATATTTTTTATGACTGACTTTTTTACAACCTCATATCATATTTTAATGAGTTTTATACCCTACGCAACTATGTTGTCAGAGTATTATAGCTTTGTGTAGCCCCAGAGTTTGTAACGCCGTGAAATATTGGTCCTAGACCCAACTTTAAGTATACCGATCGTCATATGTCGACAAGCTGAGTCGATCTAGACATGTGTGTCCGTCCGTCTGTCGATTATAATTTGTAAACACGGTACAGGCCACAGTTATGAACCAATCGCCACGAAATTTTGCATGTAGAATGGGTTCTAGCCAATGATGATCCCTATTGTTTTTGGTAATGATTGGTTCGGTTCGGATCGGATCGGGATGAAATGGACCAAAAACATTATTTTTGTCTGTTTTCTGGCAGCTCTGGAGCAAAGTTGAACAGAACTAAATTGAGAGTATGTTTGGGAGAGCGTAACTGAGAGATCATCATAAAAAATGACTGGCGAAAAGAGAATACGTGGTTAGCCAACACCGCCACAGTTATAATCCGATCACCACGAAAGGGGTCGGACCAGTTATAATCCGATCACCACGAAAGGAGTCGGACCATAGAATATGCATGACTATTTTGATGAAGATCAATATTTAGTCAATATTTAGCTCATCAAATGGACCCAGACATTTGTGTGAAAAATTACAACATGTGTATCCTATGGCGTATATATTTACGACATTGATCCGAGAAGTTAATAGTGTATCCAAGAGGAGTGTTTGACCTTTAAATTTATACTAATTATATTTTGGTTTGTGGGAGATATATATAAATCTTTAATGGGATACACGAATTCTGATATTGTTAAGTCCTACTATTACCACACTAGAGGGCGGTAATGTAGCGCTGATGGGTAGGAAGTTTTGCTTCAGGTTCCGGTTATGGTCAAGACGACGACTATATTTCCCATGATGAGCAGATGATATTACTGGTATGAAATTTAGAGAAAACTGTATTTTCCTCTGGGTTTATAGTCGCTCTAACGCCAATATTATTTGCCGAACTTAAATTCACCATGGGGAAGGCGACCAACTAATTTAAATGGTTGACCTGATAACGATCGATCAATATTTAGGGAGTCAAATGAACCAAAACTTTTTTGAGTAAAATGACAAAATTTGAATTTATGGAATAATTTTTAACTAAGGAAATCATGATTCGGAAAAGATGCCTCAGATGAGCTGTTAACCTCTAACCGGTCATGAGAGTGCAAATATCGCGTAATATTTCCCAAGCTCAGAATATAGATCCGCAGATACTTCAGGGGTAGTTGTGTAGGGTATCATATGATCGGCCCCATCCGACTATACTGCTACGCTCACTGGTTTTACATAAGATTATGTAACATCTTAAGGTGATCGCTAAAAAACTTCAAGCAAAAAATCAATTTTTTATTTATGTGGATTTTAAAAACAGATATTTAATTGAACACAACTTAAAAGACAATTTACATAACATACAAAGACAGAAGGAAGTAAAATATTCACGTTGTCATTAAAGATGACTAATCTCAGTGGGAGGTTGCCTTTGCAACGGCAGGAATTGTATATAATTTTATATATAAATCGCATGCTTACACCACTGGTTGCTTTCTTTTTTTATTTTCTAATGAGTATTTAAGCATTTGAAAGCTTTCCAGTTGTCATTCAGAGCCGTAGATAGTTTTATTTCGAAATCTTCGATGCGACAAGAGTAAGAAATGTACGAACAGATTTCACAAAAC